AATCTCTTTTATTCTTTAATCAGGCCCTTGTTTTTCATGCCATTGATTTGGTAGAGAAACCAGGTCATTTTTTTTTTTTTTTAATTGAACATTTGACATTCTGGATTTGACTGATTGCTTTCTTGAGGTGGTTTGGTTTTCAAACTCCATTCTTGGTCCCATGTATTTCCTATTAGTTCTAGAGGCTGGATTAGATTCAGATTCTATCTTAGGCAAGAAGACCTGATAATGGTTCTGGGTACTTCTGATTTTGTTATATCATGTTGCACATAAGGTCTGGTTGTTGGAATTTTAGGTTTTAGGTTTTTTATTCCTTTCTTATCGCAGTTGCTCTGTCTCTTTGGGGAGATTCAAAACCGTTCTACATTACTATCTTTGCCCAACCAAATAAAAAAAAAAAGCCAAAATTTACAGAGACAAAATGACTAGGCAGAAAAACTGATTCTGAGTCTCTTGGACAATCTGTATTTGAAGAAAGCTTCTCCTGCTTCACACACAAAGGGATTGACTGTATAGGGGAAAAACATGTAAACTACGAACACTTAGGGATTACTAAATGTAAGTTTAGAAAAAGCACATCACTAATTAGTATATTTAGAAACTGCACTATTAAAAGTCAGGATGAAAATAGCTGAAATTTAATGAGTCATTTGCTAATTATTTAGCTTATGGATTTCCAATGCCATTTGCTTCTAGCCCTTTTCCTCGTCCTTAGGCAATTTTTGGTGGTATTTTACTGCTTTTTAACACCTCCAGAAACCACTGTATGCTGGTAACTGACCATAAATTGTACACTTGGAGAGATACATAAGAGATTATGACTCAGGATCCATGCTGTGTTGCTGAGATAAACCATGAGTGGTTTGCACCACAGTTGAAGATTTTCAGAGCCAAAAGTAGTTAGAATTCTGCGGACGACCTAACGTGCTACCTATCACTTGATAAAGAAACAGAGACATAAATCATGAAGATCAATGTGCCTACTGAAGAAAGAGACGGTGTTTCACCATGCTCCTCAGATGCTAGATGTGCTCTGCTATGGGCCCAGCCCAGGGGCTCGAAGCCATGACTGGACCCGGGGAGCTTTTAAACACTGATGCGCAGACTCACCCTTAGATTGAGTCTGGTTCTCTAAGGTCCCAGGTACTGGGATTTTGACAAAGTTCTTCAGGTGATTCTCATATATGGTCATCTTCAATCCGGCCAGCAAATGAGAGGTGCCATTTATAGGTCTCACTCTGTGCAAAGGACTGTGCTGAACATCTCTTGCACGTAAGGAAACAGATCCTTGGAGGGATGTTATTCGATCGATGTCTTGCTACAAAGCAGAGTTTCACATCCAGTCTGTCTGGCTTCTGAACTAGGGGCTTTTGAACTTTTTTTGAACATAATCCAAAGTAAGATAAAAAAATTTACATCATAACTAAGAACACATAACATAATGAAACACAAGTGTAACAAACAATACTTAATCTTATTAGGTATGAGGCACACGGATATTCTGTTTTATTTAACTAAAAAAATACTCCTCAAAACCCACTAAAATGATCTCATGACTTGCACTTAGAAACACTCTACTAAACCATGACAGTGCAGATTTCCTTTCTGTTCCAAACACACGGTAGGATCTTTCCTCCATCAGTGCTTTCTCATTTTGTTTTTCTCATGTGGCGAGCCCATATTTTTTTTTCCCTATGCATTTTTTAAAGACCATCAAGGTGGTTCCTGGCTAAAAAGTGTTTCCCAGACTACTCCAGTTTATGGTGACTCTTATTTCAAGGCCTATAGGTAACACACAGCTCATCACACATTTTTAAATACTAAATTACATGGTATATTGTGATTCTCTATAATTGTCTTATAATATCTTAGAAGGTTAATGTCTCCTTGATTAAATTTAACTTCTTTGAGGATAGTGGCCATGTTGTATGCTTCGGTTTCCGTACTTTTTGCAATGCCTAGCGCAGAGCTGGGCCCATCACAGATGCCAAATAGTTGCACAACCCTAGACAAGTCAATCTCTGAGCTTTCATTTCTTCCATGAAATAAAGGGGGCTGCTTTAGCTTCATTTGAAAGTCTCCTCCAGGTTAAGTCTATTTTTCTATGATACATACACACTTCTATAAAATAGAGAAATGAAGAAAGAAAATATGAAACACTTTTGTGAGCAACTACAAGAAAAGTTCTTGTGCGGGAAGAAAAAGCCTGAAACTGGCATTTTTGGTAGGCAAAATATAAACTGTGCTGTCTGAAAAGATTAAAGAAGAACTCATTGGAGTTGAAAATGAAGTTGGGCCCTGTGTCACTTGGATACTGAAATATTATTTATAGGCCTCATTTCTTTCTCCAGTTGAATGATCACACTGTATAGGTAACAAGACATTTCCATGGGCTCTTATCAGGTTGAATGGATTATATAATAACACAAAGCTATAAAGGAATGTGGAGTTGGGGGCATGTAGAAGCAGAGGTATCATGATTTAGGAAAAAAAATGATTGAACACAATTATATTTTATTTTTTTTTTATTTTTTATTTTTATTTTTTTTTTATTCATGAGAGACAGAGAGAGAGAGAGAGAGACACAGAGAGACAGAGAGGCAGAGGGAGGAGCAGGCTCCCAAGGAGCAGGGAGCCCGATGCGGGACTCGATCCCGGGACTCCGGGACCATGACCCGAGCCGAAGGCAGACGCTTAACCATCTGAGCCACCCAGGCACCCTGAACACAATTATATTTTAGATACTGTTTATTTGCAAGTGGTTGTGAAATATTACTGAGCACCTTCCCAGGGCTTCTGAGGCCAAAGAATGTGGCTAACTGTAACCCCAAGACCATTGGCATTCTCCTGGTCCTGAGGCTATTGGTGGAGAAGCCAGAGAGGTAGTCAGTCCCTTTGGTGCTGTGTGTATGTGTGTGTGTGGTGGGGAACGGGGGGGTTTTGGGAGTGGTCATCTATGGTCTTACTTACTCAACATTCATTTTCTCTTTATTAGGAAAACTAATTTTCCTTTTGGGAACCTCCTCTCTTCCACTCAGTTCATGTGGTTTAGGTGTACAGGGCGGGGGGCACTAAAGCTATCTCCCTTGATCTTTTTCAGACATAGTCAAGTGACCCTCAACCTGCAGTGCATATTTAAACCCATGGTTACAATGCTCAGTTCAGAGATGGGAGTAGGGTCCAAGTTAGTCCAATAAGACTCATTCTTTGGCCTGCTCTCCTGCTAATGGGATCAGTTGCTAAGGAGGCTGGAGGAGAAAGTAAGCCTGGGGCTGTCAATCTAGGCCCTGATTAGAGAAAATAAAACCTGTACAATGAAAGCACAGCACAATATGGAGAGAAATGGAGTCCTAACATTCTTTGATCATCTGGAGGAAAAAAAAAGAGATTCAAAAAAATTATAATTCTTCTTCTTCTTTTTTTTTTTTTTGCCAGATCTACTCTTGGGATTTTAAGCATATGAGCCAATACATTCCAACCTCCTCCACTGTAGGTTTTCTTGAGTCACTTTGAGTTGGGTACCTATTACCTCCATTTTTCTGACTATACAGGAATGTATCATAATAGAAAGATATCCTTCCTCTTGTTCACTGCTATCCTCCTCTCTCATCTTCCTATTTGCTCCAGGAAGGACCACATCTCCTGCTTTTATAGAGCCGAAGGCTTATTTCTTCTCCACATTGTAAGAGAAATTGCTCCAACCTTTTGCACATTGTCTCCCTGCCCTCTTCCTCCACAAATCAGCATGTGCTTGCTATACAGCTGCAGATGGTAGGACTGAGGTCCAGTCTCAGGCAACTATGCCAGTACTTTTGTGTGAATTAGAATCTACCACTCCCTCTGAGCCCACCCCCCCTGGGAGGCAGTTCTTTGTAAGCCCCTGCTGGATCTTAACCCGTTTCCACCTCAGCCAAAGGACACTGTGCAGGGTACAAATGACAGCCTATCTTGAAGCCCCACAGTACCAAGAAGTAAGAATTGGAGCCATGAGGTAGAAAAACAAGCCCTCTGCTGCCCACACCCACTGTGACCGTGGTCCGTTCCTAACGTGTTGATGGCTGCTGATGCAGTGTGTCTCTGTGGCATCTCCACACTGCGCATACCTCACTGTGGTCTCAGCAGAGATCACAAATGATGATAGCTAGGAAAACAGTATCACTGTTACTTGAAAGCAGCATTTCCCGGCATCATTTAGATCTTAAGATGGTAACTCTTCTGGAGGGTCCTCCTGAGTTCATTTGGGGATCTTTACAGCCAATCTCTGTTGATGAAAGTAAAAGTCCACAGTTAAGAAATCCACTTGGAGGCCATCTGGCAATTAGCTATCGGAGAACCGAGCACAGGGCAAAGCAGGACATTTGGCAAATCTCCCATGCCCTACACCACTGACACTTTCAGGGATCAGTCTAGGGGCCTCCAAGTGGCCTTTAGTTATTTCAATCTCCAGCGCTCCTGGGGACACCCTCATCACTGTGTGGGAGATAGAGGAAGAATATGCGAGACCCACGCGAGGAAACGCAATTCCACTGGGCAGTAGCCAGCGGCGCGCAAGGGCTTTGGGGTCGCGGGCGACGGCGGCGCTGCGGTGGGGGCAGGAAGACAGGACCCAAAAAGGATGGGGGCGGTGAGGAGACTGGGCGAAGTTCCAGGGGCAATCCTGGCGCAAGCCAACGGCGAGAGCGGCGCCCCGGTGCCGGGTCCCAGCACTTATCCTGCCTTTGCCCAGGCGGAGGGGTAACCAGACCTGGCGGAGAGTGGGGGGAGCAGCCGGAAACAGGCGAGCGCGGCAGCCCGGGGGCAGCCTGGACGCTGGCCTCCGGAATCGCTCCGTCTCAGCCTGCCCCCTCCCTCTTTATTTGCCTCCGCCCCCTCTCCCCTCCTCCCCCTCACCTCGCGTCCTAAAACGCGGCGGGCGCCTTTAAGAGGGAGCTTTGGTTACCCTGGGGGTGGGAACCCCTCGGCAGATTGGGAGGCGGCGGCGCTCGCCCGCGATGCTCCTCACTTTCTGCTCCAGCTCCCGCCGCCGCCGCCGTCGCCGCCGCCGCCTGGGTCGCCACCACCGCCTCCTCCGCTTCCTCCTCTGCCTCGAAGCGTCGTTTTTCTGCAGCAGAGAGAAGTGCTATGTCAGGAAAGTTCCGGGAGAGACTGGATGGGGCCATGCTCCCTGGGTTCTTCTGCAGGCGCCCGCGCGCAGCCCTTTGTATGAGGTGAGACTTGGGGTCTTTGGCCCCCCGGACAGGTAGCCGCTCGCGGGGAGCGCTTCGGTCCGCCGCGTTGGGGAGGCTGTGCTGTTGGGCGGAGTGTGTGGCGGAGAAGGAGCTGGTTAGACCGAAGTTGTGCAGAAGAAGCTCGGGTTTTCGGGAAGGTTTTGCGGCTGGACTTGAGTGATTTCGGCAGCCCGCGCCGCACGGTGGGGGCCCGGTCGGGACTCGGTTTCCCGGGGTGCCGCCCGCCTCGCTTCCCGACGCCCCCTGTCGCCATCCCCTGCCCGCTGGAGCAGTTAGGCCTTCTAGGAAACTGGGCGGCTGCAGGTTGGCACCCAGCGCCGGCTTTTTCTCTGCGGGGCTTTCTCCTCCAGAAGCTAAGTGCCGGGAGTGGGAGAAAGGGGATGGAATCCTCTTGAACTTTTACACTGTGCTCTCTTCCCTATTTAGGGGTGAAATTCACCGCGTTTGCCCAAGTCGGGAGGCTCTCTGCGAGCTCCCAACAGTTTGAGAGCTTGCCTCTTACATGTGGGTGAGCTTGCGGCGCTGTGTGTCTTAAAGCCCTGGTCGGTTTTCAGCGTCGCCCTGATTTTAAGTCCTCTCTTCCCCGCCCCTTTTGGGAAACATTCTCTCTCTCTCTTTAATATCCCTGAGGTTCAGGGCGCTGAACACACACACACATACACACACACACCAAAAGATCCCCTCCCCAAATATGTTTATGATATGTCCCCTGGGGCTAACCCAAAATTTCAAAGTGGTCCTGTAGTCTCTGATTAGATATTTAGACTTGGTCAGGACACTTACGGAATACAGGTATCCCCCTGTATAGGTAGGTATGCAGTTTTTTTCGGTGAGGTTTTAACTATACCGTTTTAAGATAGGATTTTCTTTTTGTTTATTGGTGAATATGGTTTTCATTATGTCTTAGATTAAAAGGCTCCAACTAATTTTAAGGGTAGAATTTCTAAGAATCAAAAAAAAAAACAAAACAACCTGATGTTTCTTGCATAATCTGACATTACTTCAGGCAGTTTTACCCTTGGATGAGGTATGTAATATGTGTAATTATTTGATGAAACCTAATATATGAGTACATTTATTACACAAATGGGTAAGTTTTCTTTTTTCATGTGTCCTGTGGGTGAAGGAAGCCCATTTTCTCACACCCCCAGGTCTCTACCACACCTGTCTAATCCTGTTTGTGTTCTCTCCACTCACAGTGCACACATCTGGCGTCAGCTGCAAATCAAAGGTGCTGATGAAAAGTCCCTATATTTTGTGAAGTGTTGCATAGCCAGAGTTTTAGTGACATAATTGATTACATCATCCAGATTATTTTAAACAGAATGTGGGAGCTTGTTTAAAGAAAATAATATCATAAGTATTTAAATTCTCAGTTATATGCTTTATGTATAGTCTCTGTGTGAAAAAATATTCTCAAAATAGAGAGAGGGGGTATTGTAGGAAACATTTGTAGTGAGGAAGTTTTGAAAGGAAACCATTACGGGCGCCTGGGTGGCTCAGTTGGTTAAGCGACTGCTTTCGGCTCAGGTCATCATCCTGGAGTCCAGGGTTGAGTCCCACATCAGGCTCCCTGCTCAGTGGGGAGTCTGCTTCTCCCTCTGACCCTCCTCCCTCTCATGCTCTCTATCTCATTCTCTCTCTCTCAAATAAATAAAATCTTAAAAAAAAAAAAAAAGAAAGGAAACCATTACAGAATAACCATTAATATGACATTTTGTTTGGGATATAGATTTTCATCTCTGAGCAAAATTTTAATCACTCTGCTGTCAAATATACCAGAACTGAAACTTAAAAAAAAAATAACTCACTGTCCAAGCGTTTTCTGAAAATTTGCAGCACACTGACCGTTCTTAGAAAAAAATTTGCTTAGAAAAAGTCACATACTTAAAATCCTCCCTGCAGTTATCGTTTTAACTTAAGTTTGCTGGAGTCCAGGCAAGAAAGTTCTGCATTCAATGAGAATTTGGGGTTCTAAGGTAGATAGGACTTAGTTCCTAGAATATACAATTTTCTAGGAAATTTAGCAATTTTGAGATTTTATATATGGTTTATTTGATTTGAAATGATTGTTTTATGAATATGCTTTTTTTTTTTTAAGTAATCTTTACTCCAGATGTGGGGCTTGAACTCACCACCCTGAGATCAAGAGTTGTATGCTCTACCTACTCAGCCAGCCAGGTGCCCCTGAATTACTCTTTTTTTTTTTTTTTTAAAGATTTCATTTATTTATTTGATAGAGATGCAGCGAGAGGGGGAACACAAGCAGGGGGAGTGGGAGAGGGAGAAGCAGGCTTCCTGCCAAGCAGGGAGCCCAATGAGGGGCTCGATCCCAGGACCCTGGGACCATGACCTGAGCCAAAGGCAGACGCTTAACGACTGAGCCACCCAGGCGCCCCCTGAATTATTCTTTTTAAAACTAAATATATATATTACACACACATATGCACACACATCATCTGTCTATATCTGTACATACATATTTATATATCTATATCTGTAACAGGGAAAACTATATAGGGACTTGATAATATACATGCACTAGAAACACAGGTCTAAGAGATCAGAAGCTAAAAATAGTTCCCGTTAAGGCTTGCTATCTCTTTAGCATTTTCATCAATTTCATCAACATCAGTTAAGTTAAAAAATACTGTGTTTTCCCACGTGTTCTTGTTCTTGCACAAAGCTCGTACCAGGGGGCCATATGCCAACGATCTTAACTACATGTTTATTAAAATGGACTGAAGTATCCCATCCGGTGGATGATTGAACCAGGCATTTCTCATGCTTCAGTAATTTATCTTCAGTAGAGGAATCCCTGGGAAAAAATTAGCTTGTCAATATGATGTTTTCTTTTTTAACACTTCAAAAATGACCTTCAGGGCATTCTCTGAAGTTCTGAGACTTAGTAGATCTTGAAGGCATGGGAGGCAAACCTTGGGAAGTTGTGGTACTCCCAATTTGTGAATGATGTCCTAAATAAGTATTTGGTTTGAAAGAGGTATCCATTAATGCTTGGGTAAATAATAGCTATGATACAGTGCTCTAATCACTACAAGCAAAGCTTTGGAGTATTTCTTACCACATTCCACAGCTGAAACTGCTACATTATAACATATGTGTATGAAAATGAGAAATGAAGTGAAATAATCTTTTAGACTGATTTTTGCTTTATTTGCTAGGCATTTTTTTGTATGTGTTTATATTTGCCACAAATACCCTTTACTTTGTTGCAGGTGGCACTTTTATTCCTTTTCTGCAACTATGAGGTGTATTTTAGGGTGAATTCTTCCTGTTTACTTGAAACAGACAGTAATGTGTTTCATTGAGTTTATGTTGTGTCTCTTTGGCTTTCAAAAAGTAACATTTGAGATATTTGATTATGAGCCTGAGATCACACAGCCTTTCAGAACTGTTGGGATCTTGGTCAGTTATAGTTTCAGTTTCCTGGGAATTTTTTGTTTGAAGGTCAGATATGGCCCTAATTTTAACTGGATGATCCACAAAATAGGTACTTTCGTAACCACAAAACATGGAGAACATTCCAAATAATTTGCAGTTTGGGCAGCCCAACATGCTTTAGTGTTTAGTTGGCTTGAGGCAGTGTGCCATGCTTGTAAAAAATGGTTTTTGAAGCTGACAGTGAGCTGTTTCAGTCTTTGAGTTTGACACATAGGATAAGTGCCTTTTAGCCTCTATGCTGGCAAATTCGGACAGGATTGGTAAAAGTAATTTGTTCTCATTTCTGTCTGTATGACAGAAGATTTAGAAAATTCAGGCATGAAACTCTAGCTTAATAGACTGGAAAGCACATTCATGTTTATTAAAAATGTAAGGAAGAGTTGGGAAGGTTGGATTTTAACATAGCTTTCAAACCTTGGGCAAAAGAGTGTATATTTGCAGTTAGGAGGGTAATCTAGTGGTCACCTATTAAAATTAATAATAACACTATTATTGTCAGCATTTCCTTTGAGTGATAATTCTAAAGAAATTATATTCTCTTAGTCCCAGTTTAGATTGAAAAACATCCCCAGCCAGGTACTGTACAAATAACCAATCACCTGGCATATATGTTCCTCAATTCTTAGATAATTTTCAGTTGAAACCCTTATGTGTCATTTTAACCGTAAGTTTTACATACCATTTGGGGTTTTTGACCAAAGCTGCTTCATTAGTTTCTTTTCTCTCAATTGACTAAGTCCTGTCTGTATCATTAAAGCATTTAAAAAATAATTTAGGCAAAATGTTTTATGTGGGAACTCTAATGTTCTGCCTTGAGGAGGTGGTGCAGAAGGGACATGATTCTTTGTTCTGTTACCTTCCGAAGGGAGGTACTGTCACCTCTTCCTGTTTTTTTGTTTTGTTTTGTTTTTTTGTTTTTTTTGATTTAATTTTTTAATTTTTTTAAAGATTTTATTTATTTATTTGAGAGAGAGAGAAGAGAGATAGAGAGCACGAGAGGGAAGAGGGTCAGAGGGAGAAGCAGACTCCCTGCTGAGCAGGGAGCCCAATGTGGGACTCGATCCCGGGACTCCAGGATCATGACCTGAGCTGAAGGCAGTCGCTTAACCAACTGAGCCACCCAGGCGCCCTGTTTTTTTTTTAATTTTAGAGAAAGAACATTTGCAGGCATTTAAAGATGCTTGAAGTTTGGATCACAACAAGAGTTTCAATGGAAAGTTCCCTAAGAATCAGTTAACATTTATTTATGTCGGGTGTTCAGTACGGTCTCTGGCTGAGGGTGTCTGCTACAGGTTTTTTGATCTAAGTTGGTCCTGGGAGGATACGGATTCAAAGGGAGGTGGAGTGGAAAGGGGACTAATCCAGGCATAGCATCCATTGCCTTCCAGAGGGCATTTTGGACACAACTCTAAATGTGTACTTGTAATAAAAACCCATTCTTTTCATCATTTTAGCTTATTTTTGCCATTACCTCCAGGCAGGATGTGAAGTAGGCCGTCTTCCTGCCCCATTTTGAT